CGTTATAGGATTTTTTTGGCACCTTAACTTCAAGACTTGAAAGGTTCCTCACTGAAAATCTAAATCGAGATTTATAAGCACTGAAAAGAGCGAGAATAAATGCGTTTAGATAGTACACATAATAATGCGACAAGAGCAAAATTTGGAGAAATTGGCTGCGTTAAAGCAAGTAAACTGAAAATCGGACAGAACTTTTGAAGCAGCCAGGTACATGTAACTTCGTGCCAGTTTCTTCATCCTTACTATTCCTGGATATCCAACGTATAGTTCCTTACTTTCGACCGAAGCTTGCTAGGTGGCACAAATCTTTCTACCAGCATCAGGCAATGTTCTACGATAGAAAATGTCTCTCGTCGGCTATAAAAACTCGTTATCCTCTCTTAACTTTTGGCCATTTTCCATTATTTGAACTTGTCATCACTCTGTTCAGTATAGGATCGTCCGTCGTTTATGCTTCTACAGAACTCTTTGGGCAAACTTTTTATACAATTTCTCAACGTTTCGTTTACGTCGTTCTCTACAGCCGCTATCACAACGTCTGTTCCTGCATTCTGTCTCTTCTTCATCAATGACAATCCATCTGCTTGCGGGAGTGCGTGGTTTTGACGTACTTTATGTCAAGATCATATCCAAGAATAATTGTAGCCCATCTCATTAGTCTAGTGGAGTAATCCAAAACTCCTTTTTTTACCAAAGGGGGTTAACGAAGTCTTGTAATCTGTTAATGGTAGGAATTTCCTGCCAAAGATGTATTTATGGAATTTCTTCACAGCGACAATTTCTAATGCTTCTCTCTAAAATGGGAGTAATTTTTCTGCGCATGCGGGATAGTGAAGCATGCGCAGTTGGTTTTCCTGATCCATCAGGACATTTGTGCGATATTACGCCTCCGATTCCATAGTCACTTGCATCCGCTGTTACGACTATCTTTGCGTTGGATTGTAGTGAGCAAGGTTCAGCTCACTTGTCAATGCCTTCCTCAGCTTCACCAAAGCTTTTTGCTGTTCAAGTTCCCATTCTCACTTTGTCTTCTTTTGTAGTAACGCGTCTAATGGTCCAAGAAGATTTGTGATGTTTGGCATGAACGTCACATAGTACATATGTAATCATGTCAAGAAAGGCCCCTGACTGTTTCACATTTTTCGGTTCGTACCTGTTCTTTATAGCTTCGATTTTCAGCCTTCTGCCATTTCTATGTTGATGAAGCCAAGATAGCACATCTTTGGCTTTCCGAAAGCACATTTATTCGGCCGAAATCTGAATCCATACTTTAAATTTTGCGAACAACGTTAACGAATTCTCTATGTGCCCTTCTTCAGTCCTTCCGCAATTCGTATAACGTCCAAGTTTGCTATTCCTTGTAAACCAGCTACCATCATATTCATCATCTGTTGGAATATCCGTGGTGCACTCTTTATTCCAAACGCAGCGATTGTATAGGTACCCTCCGTGCGTGTCTATTACGTCAATCCGCTCTTTTTGACAGTTCTATCTGAAAGTACGCGTTTAAGCGATCAATCAGACAGTGTTCTTCGACTGTGAGTTGAGAAGGTGTCTTTTGGTAGTGGCAAGGGATAGTCCTACGACTCAAGCGCTCTGATGAGTTCAGTGGAGAACTCCCCACTTATTCTCAGCTTTCCATTTGCTTTTCTTACACATACTATCGGAGCTGCCCGTTCGTTACGCTTATTGGAGGTAGCACGTTCATCTCCAGAGTCTGTCCAGTACCTTCTCGACAGCTTCAGGGGCAGGATGGACGACAGATCTGCAAGTCAATTCCACCAACCTGCATTCTGCTTTTCGCTCAGTTCATATTTCCAAGCATCTTTGCACACTTTTGGATAAGCATTCCAAATTTTGTGCAATCAACCTTTTGGTTGGCCTCCACATTTGCAATAATCCTTCCCAAGCACTAGGTCATCGCTTTATTCTTCGGTGTCCAGTGGATATTTAGCAACGCATTGTGAGGAGTAATATCGCGTAGCTTTCACTCTTGGATTCCTTCTGCTCGAAGTTGCAGCACAGCTTGCCACTTTTCATGGAGTTCTCACTGAAGTTCTTGGCACAGACACTCGTTTCTTCAAGGTTTAGAGTACCCATTTTCTTCCAAACTGACTCGATCAGCAGCGTGATCCGATCCTGTATTAAGCAAAACCTTACTGACTGACCATTCACTTCCAATTCCAGGTATTTTCGTAGAAAGTTGACATTCACCGTGGCTTTGCCATCTTCACTACATTTTGAGCACGTGATTCCTCGCTTTCTTGGTCGGTCAGACCGTTTTCCTCTGTTGATAAGTTCGCAGAACTTTTCGTTATGTTCTGTTGTCTTGCACTTCTTGCAAAAGCATAGCTTTGCTTTGCAATCCTTGAAAAGGGTTGCCTAAAGCAGTCCAGCATTCCAACTTCTTGCGTTCTTTCTTGACTGCTTTCACCACTCTCGTGTTTCTGGCTATAGGCTCGTAGTAAAGCTGCCTCAATCGATGTCAAACGAATAAAATTTCAGTTGAGCCTTCGACAAGTCAGCTCGACCTCAGTTGATCCATTGATTGATAACGCCAACTATCCATGATAATAAGACTAAGATCGTCATGTCCCTGCAAGTTTACGAATCAAAACGAGTTCGCCAAACGTTTACATCTATGTGATCGAAATTAACGGCGGAGATGTGGCCGCACTTGCTAAATCCTGTTAAGTATCGTCACCCTGCACTGCGGGCTCAACCGATATTCCTTCGACATGTTAAACTGACGCGCAATGTAAGTTACTCAGGACTAATTTACGAAAAGATTCTCTACATCATCACTGACATGCTATTTAAATCAGTTCAGTCGTCACCTGGATGTGAACTGAATAAGACAAACGACCTCTTTAGGTGGATGGACGGTCAACTGGCATCTCATTTTGCATTCTTAAAGCATGGGAAGATGATGGATGTCATTCTGTCTTACCGAATCTGAAATGAAGGCCTCATTTTAGATTATATGAACTGAAGGAACTTTATTACGGACCATAGTTTCGCTATCTTGCGTCAAACCAAGTAAATAATTCTGAGGGTTTTTATAGGGTCATCTTGCGCTCGGTTTTGTACTCTTTGCGATAAGTCTTTCTCAAACAATCATTTAACTCCGCGCCCCCGCGGCCCCTAACGGTACTCTTGGCGGTGCGCGGGCGTCAAATTCTTGGACTGACCATCCGCGGCCCTAGATCTATTTCCTTAGCCACCCGCGGCTCAACTATCGCTAGAAACAGGCCGCGGGCCTCCAAACTTTTATCGGAACACCCGCGGACCAAGAAAAAACACTCGGGCGAGCCTGAAACCTTATTGGACTCGCTGAATATTTAGTTTTTAGGCAGGCCCGGCTCTTTAGGCGACGACCCAATAAGCTCCGGCGAGTGTCGGGTCTTGCTGGACGCCTCAAATAATACATGCTGTAGGACAGAACGCTACTCGCGTGAGATACGCCGCGGTGATAGGGCTACCCTCAACATTTGCGCCGTCTGGCAAAAGTCAAATTCCTGGTCATCAATAGTGTCTCGCATGACCTCTACAGGACCACTTGCTTCGGAGACCAGATGGGCTGCCGGAGGCTTTGGTGCAGTAATTGTGGCTTTCACGCAAGGCAAAGAGATATGAATGGAATTGCCTTATTTTAGCTTATTTTGGATTCTCCTGTCCAAAAATTTATAGCAACTTGATTCCATCGCTATTAAGTTCGTGGGCCTTCGCTTTTTCGCAAAGATCATTAACTCTTTCATACAAGAGGTAATCTTTGTATTTTTTCTTCTTCAGCTTTAAACACTGTTATATCAATATAAACGGCGATGCCTTCAAATCGAAAATTTGCTTCAGGGTTGAAACTGTTTCTTCGAAATCTATCGCGGTTACTTGTCCTGGTAGTATGTGTCGCTAATACTTTTCAAAATCTTCTCTGTCCAGTTCTTCACAAAGAAGTCGCACACTAGCACTTTCCGTGAGCGGCTTGGCATCCTCAACGAATCCGTCATTGTAACATGCTTACCACTAGCTGGAGCTTAAGTTGTCTTCAAGATGGAAAATAAATTTATTCATCCTATTGCTCGGAGACATGAGATTTGGCACATCCCCTGCGGTATTGCTATTCCCGTACCTGTACCTCGCCCATGATCGATGGCTTCGAGAAAAGCCTTTATTTCCACTTGCTGCAGACGCATCCGCTCTTGCTGCAAACGACCGTCGTCCACCGCTCTGCCATCGAGCTTGTAATTGTCTTGTTTTTTCTCGAGTTCCGCTGCTTATCCTGATTGCCAGTTGTTGCGTTCAGGAACACTTCAGCGAAGACTCTCTATCTACCTTCCAGCTACAAGCAGTAAAACTACTAAAGTCTTGCGAAATAGGCTGTTTTTGTAGCCTGCTCATTTACACAAACAAATCATAACGCAGAACTTCAGATCATTTTATTAATTCATTTCTACTTAGCTGCCTTCACTGAGGTAGCCCCCCCCCCGATAGGAATGGTGTTTGGGAATCGATTGATTTGTTCATTGAAATAATCGCAGAAAAAATGAGCCATTGTTTTTTGCCATGTCCGGCTTTGCCATTTTTTCAAAAGTTTTCGTAACTCGAAAATGTCATCAATCTCGACTGCGGCTTACAATCAAAGTTGCAAGATCTACATCATGCGCATTTATAGAGAGTTAAACAATTCATTTATTGAATAGTGTCGCTTTGTACAAACATATACTTCCAAAGAGCATACCAACAAATAGAATGCTGGAAGAAATATGCACCAAGAGTAACATTCTCATTTGGAAAGAATCAGCACGCGAAGAAGTGCATCTTTGTGCATGCTAATACAGTTTGGTGCAAGTTTGACCCACGTCCTTACATACAGCACATTTGCTGGCACATCGGCATACAAATGCTAACGGGGCGCACAACCTGGCATCGTTGCTGGCACGGTACCAAGCAGACTTGACACTGGAATAATGGTTTAGGAAAGACTGCTATCAACAATTCGACTAGTTCCTTACTGAAGTCGCAGCTGGAGCAGTAGTGACTGATGGCGGTGGTGAAGGAGGAAGAGTAGTTGGTGGAGGAGGTGGTGGTGATGGTGGAAGAGTAGCTGGTGGAGGAGGTGGTGGTGGAAGAGTAGCTGGTGGAGGAGGTGGTGGTGGAAGAGTAGCTGGTGGAGGAGGTGGTGGTGGAAGAGTTGTTGATGGGGGTGGTGGTGGTGATAGTGGAGCACCAGTAGTAGCTGGTGACTCACCAGTTGAACAGACAGCTACACATCTTGGCATGCACAAGCCGATGCAGATCTCTGTCGGGCAGGTCATGCAATTCTGTTTGCAGACTTCACATGTGGATAAGGCAGATGTGGTGACTGGTGGTGGAGGAATTGATGGCGGAAAAGTGGCTGGTGGAGGTGGTGGTGGTGGAAGAGTGGTTGATGGAGGTGGTGGTGGTGGAAGAGTTGTTGATGGGGGTGGTGGTGGTGGAAAGAGGGTTGTTGGTGGAGGTGATGGAGGAGGCGGGAAGGCTGTTGATGAAGGTGATTGTGAAGGAGGAATTGTAGATTGAGTGCCTGCCACGGGTGCTACAACAACTGGAATGGCACACGTTTGACTGCAGCTATCAGTGCATCCTGAAATGCAGTATTGGATTAAAATTTATTTCTGAAGAAAAAAAAGTATGATACGTTTATCTCCCAGCTCACCTGTAATGCATGTCGATGTTCTACACGCTGGAACACATTGTACGTTACAAGTGTTGAAACAAGAAAGTGCTGCCTATAAAATATCCGCCTGGGAGCAAAATGTCATTCAAAGAGATTTTCGGAAACTTACCGGAGAACAGCATGACATCAAGGCCGATGAACAGCAGCTCCTTTTTCCTCGTGACAACAAAATTTTCTGGAAATGTCTTGAAGATTGTAAGCAGAGAGGAGTAATGAACAAAATAAAGAATTAGAATGAAGAATCTGCTGATAAGCAGACCTATTTCCGTTACCAGTTCCGGCAAATTACAAGTACAATCGAAGCTAACACAACTATTCTAGAAATTCTAAGCTACTATTTGCTCGGCGGCGATGCTACCACCCTAGAAATCAGACTGAAATCTCAAACTGGAAAGCAACGGCTCAAAGCTTTGAGAACTGGAAGCTTATGGATGACTTTTGGTGCCGAAGTGACTATGTAGCTTTGTCAGGGCAAAATATATGGAAAATAAGCAGCAAAGTTATTAGAAAATGTCAGAGATGGAAGAAATGTGTTGCATAAGGCATATGTAATAGCTCACCTCATTTAATACCGATGCTGTCAGTTCGCTGAGCTTAACAGCTTCCACGAATTCTGCCGTAAAGACAAATAACAATAAGCAGGCGGTGGTGGCACACTTAAAGGCCGATTTCATTGCCTAGTATAATTGAATGGTGATTTGGCACTGACATCGACGAGCTTTTATACACTACGGTAAAATTCGAAAGTGGGTGGGGTTCGTTACGAGGACTGGCTTTTGCTAACAGAAACGCACAGAATCAACGTAAGGAAAAACTACTGATATCGGTGCTCTTACGAGAAAAAGCGCTTGCTGGGTTTTTGGAGATGGAGTTATACGGGTTTTCTTCAACTAAGTTACAAATAACGATTGCTTGCTCACTGATTATGACGAGTTTAGCTTTATAAGTCTACCACAGAGTAGCTCCTACTATTTTTTGTCTCAAATTACTCTTGCCGCTGACTCGTTCAACAAATGCCCTTGTCTTGTCGAATACATATTTTTCAGAATCAGCAGCTTCTGTGCTTTTGTCAATTACGAATGCGTAAAGAAGATTTCACCCTACATTGTGCTACCTCGAAAGTTCCATTAAAGACGCTAACAAAACTCCGGATATTCACCTCACCGCCCCATTGGTAAGCACTTGGATGGTTGAGTAGGATAAATTTTTGTAGATAAACGAGACTTACTAGTGACTGTTATAACGTAGAAATCTACGCTAGGAATTTGGATACAGTAGGAAAATTTGAACCCATTGGAGATTATCCAGCTCGGGACTGCTTAAGATCAAAATTGCCTTTTTTGATATCTGAACACTGCAAAAATTTTGAGTTGGAGTTCGCAGTTGAGATATTGAGCAAAAAATCGGCACATTTTGCACAGGGAAGAAAGCCTTGAGAGGAATGTTTGTAGTGTTTTCTTTAATTTTCACAAATGCACATCAAGTGCATATCAAATTCTCTAAAAACCAAAATCCCGGCAAGCGTGGCAGAGATGCACCTGTGGTTTTCAAGCACGAACATGCACCTGTGGTTTTCAAGCACGAACATTCTGAATGAATACCGAAAAATTTGGAAATTTTTTTAACGAAAGGTTAATAAATTTCTAAATTTCTAAATAAATTGATATGAATTTCTATTGAAAATGATCGCCGCTTTCAAGGAGACTGACGCATACCGCCCCCGGTCTTGTAGGTATGTAGCCGACTTTTCTCTTTCTGAGGGTGTGCTTTCTAATTCCAGAGTATTGTTATAAGTACTCATTATAGGTACTCATCAAGTCACAACACAGTTGAAAACGGCGTAGTTCTCAACTACGGTAAGGCACAAACCTGGCCATGGCCATTCCTAGATAACAGCAGCCTACCTAGATTCGTTCAGAAGGTTCAGGCTTAAAAACCGCAGGCGGATCTCTGCCACGCTAGCCGAGATTTTGGAATTTTTTTTAAAGAATTTGATATGCACTTGATATGCATTTGTGAAAATCAAAGAAAACACTTCAAACATTCCTTTCAAAGCTTTCTTCTCTGCTCAACTTTCTTCCCCGCTCAAAATGTGCCGAATAAAATCAAAATTTTTCTTTGCGTAGAAGAGGTGAGCTTCAGATTAAACCTTAGTCGGTTTACGGTTGCACCATTTATAGAGGAAATCAATTCTCCAATCAGTTTTAGATTTAAAGAATTTTCACGCCCTTCCTTGTGTCAAGTAGAAAGAATATTTCAAACCGTTGAGTTTTTTGCTCAATATCTCAACTGCGAACTCCAACTCAAAATTTTTGCAGTGTTCAGATATCAGAAAAGGTTTTTGCAGTGTTCAGGTATAAGAAAAGGCAATTTTAATCTTAAGCAGTCCTGAGCTGGATAATCTCCAATGGGTTCAAATTTTCCTACTGTGTCCAAATTGCTAGCGTAGATTTCTACGTTATTACAGTCACTAGTAAGTCTCGTCTATCTACAAAAATTTATCCTACTCAACCATCCAAGTACTTATCAATGGGGCGGTGAGGTGAATATCCGGAGTTTTGTTAGCGTCTTTAATGGAACTTTCGAGGTAGCACAATGTAGGGTGAAATCTTCTTTACGCATTCGTAATTGACAAAAGCACAGAAGCTGCTGATTCTGAAAAATATGTATTCGACAAGACAAGGGCATTTGTTGAACGAGTCAGCGGCAAGAGTAATTTAAGACAAAAAATAGTAGGAGCTACTCTGTGGTAGACTTATAAAGCTAAACTCGTCATAATCAGTGAGCAAGCAATCGTTATTTGTAACTTAGTTGAAGAAAACCCGTATAACTCCATCTCCAAAAACCCAGCAAGCGCTTTTTCTCGTAAGAGCACCGATATCAGTAGTTTTTCCTTACGTTGATTCTGTGCGTTTCTGTTAGCAAAAGCCAGTCCTCGTAACGAACCCCACCCACTTTCGAATTTTACCGTAGTGTATAAAAGCTCGTCGATGTCAGTGCCAAATCACCATTCAATTATACTAGGCAATGAAATCGGCCTTTAAGTGTGCCACCACCGCCTGCTTATTGTTATTTGTCTTTACGGCAGAATTCGTGGAAGCTGTTAAGCTCAGCGAACTGACAGCATCGGTATTAAATGAGGTGAGCTATTACATATGCCTTATGCAACACATTTCTTCCATCTCTGACATTTTCTAATAACTTTGCTGCTTATTTTCCATATATTTTGCCCTGACAAAGCTACATAGTCACTTCGGCACCAAAAGTCATCCATAAGCTTCCAGTTCTCAAAGCTTTGAGCCGTTGCTTTCCAGTTTGAGATTTCAGTCTGATTTCTAGGGTGGTAGCATCGCCGCCGAGCAAATAGTAGCTTAGAATTTCTAGAATAGTTGTGTTAGCTTCGATTGTACTTGTAATTTGCCGGAACTGGTAACGGAAATAGGTCTGCTTATCAGCAGATTCTTCATTCTAATTCTTTATTTTGTTCATTACTCCTCTCTGCTTACAATCTTCAAGACATTTCCAGAAAATTTTGTTGTCACGAGGAAAAAGGAGCTGCTGTTCATCGGCCTTGATGTCATGCTGTTCTCCGGTAAGTTTCCGAAAATCTCTTTGAATGACATTTTGCTCCCAGGCGGATATTTTATAGGCAGCACTTTCTTGTTTCAACACTTGTAACGTACAATGTGTTCCAGCGTGTAGAACATCGACATGCATTACAGGTGAGCTGGGAGATAAACGTATCATACTTTTTTTTCTTCAGAAATAAATTTTAATCCAATACTGCATTTCAGGATGCACTGATAGCTGCAGTCAAACGTGTGCCATTCCAGTTGTTGTAGCACCCGTGGCAGGCACTCAATCTACAATTCCTCCTTCACAATCACCTTCATCAACAGCCTTCCCGCCTCCTCCATCACCTCCACCAACAACCCTCTTTCCACCACCACCACCCCCATCAACAACTCTTCCACCACCACCACCTCCATCAACCACTCTTCCACCACCACCACCTCCACCAGCCACTTTTCCGCCATCAATTCCTCCACCACCAGTCACCACATCTGCCTTATCCACATGTGAAGTCTGCAAACAGAATTGCATGACCTGCCCGACAGAGATCTGCATCGGCTTGTGCATGCCAAGATGTGTAGCTGTCTGTTCAACTGGTGAGTCACCAGCTACTACTGGTGCTCCACTATCACCACCACCACCCCCATCAACAACTCTTCCACCACCACCTCCTCCACCAGCTACTCTTCCACCACCACCTCCTCCACCAGCTACTCTTCCACCACCACCTCCTCCACCAGCTACTCTTCCACCATCACCACCACCTCCTCCACCAACTACTCTTCCTCCTTCACCACCGCCATCAGTCACTACTGCTCCAGCTGCGACTTCAGTAAGGAACTAGTCGAATTGTTGATAGCAGTCTTTCCTAAACCATTATTCCAGTGTCAAGTCTGCTTGGTACCGTGCCAGCAACGATGCCAGGTTGTGCGCCCCGTTAGCATTTGTATGCCGATGTGCCAGCAAATGTGCTGTATGTAAGGACGTGGGTCAAACTTGCACCAAACTGTATTAGCATGCACAAAGATGCACTTCTTCGCGTGCTGATTCTTTCCAAATGAGAATGTTACTCTTGGTGCATATTTCTTCCAGCATTCTATTTGTTGGTATGCTCTTTGGAAGTATATGTTTGTACAAAGCGACACTATTCAATAAATGAATTGTTTAACTCTCTATAAATGCGCATGATGTAGATCTTGCAACTTTGATTGTAAGCCGCAGTCGAGATTGATGACATTTTCGAGTTACGAAAACTTTTGAAAAAATGGCAAAGCCGGACATGGCAAAAAACAATGGCTCATTTTTTCTGCGATTATTTCAATGAACAAATCAATCGATTCCCAAACACCATTCCTATCGGGGGGGGGGCTACCTCAGTGAAGGCAGCTAAGTAGAAATGAATTAATAAAATGATCTGAAGTTCTGCGTTATGATTTGTTTGTGTAAATGAGCAGGCTACAAAAACAGCCTATTTCGCAAGACTTTAGTAGTTTTACTGCTTGTAGCTGGAAGGTAGATAGAGAGTCTTCGCTGAAGTGTTCCTGAACGCAACAACTGGCAATCAGGATAAGCAGCGGAACTCGAGAAAAAACAAGACAATTACAAGCTCGATGGCAGAGCGGTGGACGACGGTCGTTTGCAGCAAGAGCGGATGCGTCTGCAGCAAGTGGAAATAAAGGCTTTTCTCGAAGCCATCGATCATGGGCGAGGTACAGGTACGGGAATAGCAATACCGCAGGGGATGTGCCAAATCTCATGTCTCCGAGCAATAGGATGAATAAATTTATTTTCCATCTTGAAGACAACTTAAGCTCCAGCTAGTGGTAAGCATGTTACAATGACGGATTCGTTGAGGATGCCAAGCCGCTCACGGAAAGTGCTAGTGTGCGACTTCTTTGTGAAGAACTGGACAGAGAAGATTTTGAAAAGTATTAGCGACACATACTACCAGGACAAGTAACCGCGATAGATTTCGAAGAAACAGTTTCAACCCTGAAGCAAATTTTCGATTTGAAGGCATCGCCGTTTATATTGATATAACAGTGTTTAAAGCTGAAGAAGAAAAAATACAAAGATTACCTCTTGGTCCAAATTATTTAACTGTTTAGAAGGAAATTTTTACGTACAGTAGGTATCAGACTCAAATCAACATTGCTTATTTTTTTCTGCTTTTCTATAGCATTTGTGCGGCTTCTATTTTATTCGAGATGTCCAAATTTCTCGAATATAATTCTCGATTACTGGAATTTTGACATTTTTCATTGCGAGCTTCAAAAAAATTTAGACGAAAGTTTTAGAAGTGTTCGGTATCGACTACCACACCGGTGTTGTGCAAACAATCGCTCCTCTGACCGAATCCCTGTATGAGGTTGAGGTTGAAGCCTTTGACCATGGAGACCCGAAGCGAACAGAAATTACGAAGCTGATCATTTCTGTTCATGGCACGAATCCTTCGGCTCCTGTATTTGATGAGGTATGGAAGCTCAAATTTCAAGCACCAGATTTTGAGCTGAACAATGAATCGAAAAATAGTTGTAAGAAAAGCATCCTATCTATTTTGTAATTTTCTGCTATATCTCAATTCAATTCAGTCTAAATGGTTTGAGTTAAGTCGAAAAGTTTCGAATTCCTTTCGAAATGAGGCCACGCTGGTTTTGTGTTTATATCCTAATCGTCTCCCTTTTCTCGCTAGTTTTTCTTCCAGCATACCTAAAGTTTTTGTTCAGCCTTCCCAAGTACTCAGCTTGAGCATGTACTCCTGGAGTAAAGCAGTCTAGTCTCCCATCTTCTCGTATTTTATTTTGTGAGCTTATTATTAACTTAAAAACGCTTGCAGTTAAGCTATAGAGCTTTTTGATCCTTAAAGTTTCTAGAAAATAAAGATCCTTTACGTCCACCTTCTTAGGGGCGAATTAATATCTGTTTTGCGATATTTTTGCTAACCCAAATCTCATGGTCAAGTCCCGAGCAAAATATGTAAACATCTACTGCGCTTATGTATAAACTGATAATCCTTCCAATAGACCAAGAAAAATTGTTCATTTCTTTCGCATAAATTAGGCCACTTTGCCTTTGTCTCCTTTACCATTCAAAGTGCAAAGTTGTTTTCAAAACCAGTTCATGATAATTCGATATATGGGCAGGTTTTTAAGTTTATCTTTGGTGATCAGAGAGTGCACAAGAAATGGAGTTCAAAGTGCTTCTTTACGACATCATTTACTTCGGAACAAAATGTTGTTAACTATCAATAGAGGCATCACTCCCCAAAATGTCTTTAAAAAATGTGGCTATTCAATGTTGAACGGGGTTTCTGGATCGCAAATTAATTGAGAACCCTGGACCTTGATAGTTCATCAAAAAGGTTCAAATTCAGGAACCTCATTGTCACATTTCTGAACGATTTATGAATTACGTTGCTGGTATTCCTGGGCAGTATGTGGATGTGCAGTCGGTAAAGCAAAACTAACTAAGAATAACAAGTCTGGGAAAATTATACTAAACATTACTTTCGCTTCTTTCCTTTACTTTTTGAAGCCGGTTCCTTTTCTGTTACAAGTGTAGCTTCGATGTCTTGATAGGTTAGGCGCATGATGTGATATGTTTCTATCCTACTTTGGTAAATATTCCTGTTCTAAATTAGCTTATGTAGGATTATTTATTGTTTATCTATTTTATTTATTTATTTGCTTCTTTCCAGTAGTGTTCAAGTAGCTTTCTAACGAGTAGATGAAAATGCTGTTTTGAGAATTATAGATTTACCACTGGATCAAGCTTTACCTTAATAACCTTTGACCTGTTCCAGAAACGATACGAAGTTACCATAACCTCTCCAGTTCGAGCCGGCTCAGTAGTTGCAAAAATGCATGCGAAGGATCCTGATCCGGGCCTAGAAGGACAAATTTCATATAGACTCGATACAAGTGACAGCCGAAATCAAGCGCATACAAGGAAATTTTCGATCAATGAACAGGTAAGGGCTGCGATTTTTTTAGTCGATTTTAATAGCAATACATGTACCCCTTTCAGACAGGAGTTGTTTCCGCTATAGAGCCACTGACAGCTAATGATGGACCATTCGATTTGGTTGTGATTGCGGAAGATCAAAGTACTATTTACAAACGAAAGGTATGTTGAAATTCTAATTATCTGAGGCTAAGAGGCAGAGCCTTGCTACAGACTACTGCAATTCTCCATATCGAAATTGTGGGAGACACATCGTTACGATTTCTTCCGCTACCCTCCACTATCTATATTTCTACGGAGAAAGCTGTTGGAAGTGTAGTTCTGAGGTTCGTAATGTTTTATATGCTTTCTAACCAAGAAACGGCTTTTCTTTTAGAGCTTCTGCCTTTACTGCCTCGTCGATGCCTGTGCATTTCCGAATTCTCGAAAATGATGCTCCTTTCGTGATGGATGGTGATCTGCTGCGAGTGAGTTAAAAATTCCTTAAAATTGCTTTCCTAGCCCATTTCCTCGTCTGTGATCATAGCCCACAAGAAAGTTGTAATTTAGGTGGCCTCACATTTGTCTCCTGGCGAAACTAATCTGACCGTTCGGGCGGAGACTGATAATGCTCATTCGGATCATCGGCTCAAAGTGGTGGTGATGTACGACAGGGATAAGTACCCAGTCTTTCCGCAGCTTACCTACGATATTGACGTAAGCAGATTAATCAGAAGTTGTTTTTCACTCCTTCTCATAGGAATCAGCTGACCAAAAAATCACACGTAAACCGAGATTTGCTTTGTATGAATACAAATTTTGAATGGACCGAGAAAAATCCCTTATCTCCTTACTTCGCAGGATACACGAAGTTCATGAACAAGGCCACAATAGATAAGTGATGCTTTTAACTGATGTTGAATATTGGAACATTTGGTTTCTTTTTACTAGGCGATGCAGGTACTACAATAAAAAGAACCTGTAAGATGAAGCGCGAGTAGAATGATCTCTTGAGCTGTACAAAATGTTGAAATTATTGCATAGCATTACGCAAAAAAAAATGTTGGAAGCGTAGAACTAGAAAGTTTCTATCTGGATTTCGCTTTTTGAAGATTTGAAGTGAGAACAGTGCAAGCTTCACATATTCTGATATTTTTATCATGGCCAATTTTTTTTTCAATGGAGGAAGTGTTCTCATGGTTCGATTTACACACAGCGGAAAACACAGTGAATCTCTCATGCCAGATTCTATTGATTCTTGTGCTTTTAGATCCCCATAGACTCAGTCTTTCCACTTACTGCTCACCGATTTGATGCTCAACTTTTAAACGGTACACTTATGTACCGTTTCTTCCCAGACGGCACAGCTCCAGTAGGCCTCTCCATACATCCAAATTCGGTACGTTCACTCCTTCTTATAACAAGTCATTTTTTCATACCTTATTGTATTTTCTATGATTTTCAGGGCGAACTCATCGTAGATTCCGTGTATGCTAACACTCCCTCAAATCACGATACACAATTTGTTGTAGTGCGGGCGATAAACTTGAACTATCCGGAATTCTACTCAGATGTTGGGGTAAGTTCAGATTTCTTTAGAATTTGTTAAATTGACAAAATCTCTCTCTTTTACAGGTCGCTATCAGTCTTGTCTCCAGCAAATCTCTCCGTTTTCCACAGAGCATTTATCGAATGCAACTTACCGAGAACACACCGATAGGGACCGCTCTTTACCCACCGCTTGAGGTAAACTGTTTCTAAAGAAATGATAAAAACAGAAATAATATCGCCAATAACAACAAGCAGCGATTTTCGGGGTAATTGCGTTTGGCTTCCATTTTCGACAGGTGACGAGAAGTCATGTGCAACGAATAACCACATAATTTTTATGGGTTTTCGTCAGACCTGTTGTTACCTAAGCTGCCGTTGCCTTAGCAACGCTGAGGCTGTAAAACTGCCAAAAATTGGGGGTATTTACTATTTAACGAAGTATTAACATTTGATCAGGCTTACATAAAACTTTCAGGTTTTCCCGAAATCACCAGGAGTGACCTATACCATCAATCCTCCCACGCCTCTCAGCATTCTGTCGAATGGCACACTCGTGGTCAACTCTGCCGTCGATCTGGAACAGTTGCCTGTTGACCAGAGCAGCAGTTTGCACTTCATTGTGAGTTTATATCGTTAGAGCTCATGCGAATCTTGGGGTTGGGAATAATTTGTGCAGCCTCTGCTTCCTCTTACTTGCTAATCGGGTGAACACAATTTTGTAAAAATTGTCAAAATTAGTATAGAATAGTTCTATCTATTATAAGAATCGTAAGGTGCATTCAAAAATCATCAGATAGCGGGAAACCGAGCGGGTCCCGAAACGAGCGCGCCTGAACTAGCACCTTTGAGATTACTGGTTCACTAGTAAATCTGTAAAGCTATTATTGTATCTACAATCAGCATGCTCACTTACCTGCCTGTGCCAACTCCCAACTCCGTAGATCAAACTTTGCAAAAATTCGCTAAAATCAAAAGCAGTAGATAATTCCAAAAACAAACGACATACAAACAGATAGACATTCAACTTTATGTATAAGGTGGGTAAGGGGCGGAGTCTAAGGTTCATTGGGGAAGGGGTGGAATGGGAGCAATTTTGGTTCCTTTCAAACTACTTTCCTTCCTTGTTTGCTTTGGAAGCGAGTTTTGTAAGGCAATGTAACGCGGAGGAATATATTTGTTTAGTGTTTCGAAACTCCTGAAGAATCTTAGCTTCATGTGATAATTAAAATAGGGGGAAGTTCTAGGCCTGGGCGGGACTTTGCGTCAGTTGATTGGGATTATCTTGTAGACGCTGCTTTATATTGAGCTTCGAAATATATCTGAGTCCTCTGTTCAATTGTATTAATTTTTAAGTGCGATCAGTCATGCAGTAATTTCCGTCTATTTTCCTGAAGCCCCTGACGAATGCCGCTTTGTTTCTTTTGTTCAAATAATTGTTAAGACCATTTACAGCTAGAATACTACGAATTCCCGATACGATTTTTATATCGCTTGTTTGGTTATGTTCAAACTAAATTCCGGACAGCATTCATCTGTTGCGCCGATCTATCTGTTTGTTCACTCAATGCTGAACATACAAAAGTGAACGCTTTATAGAACAGTGGTGGTTGTTCACTCAGTCTATTTTCTCACCCTCGGATTTCCGCGAAACCATGTTTTTGGACTGAACCAGTATTTTTGCGCAGACTCTGCAGGGTTTACCAAAAAACCACTATCAACTCAACTTTATATTTACGTTATCACAGGATTCTTGGAGGGAAGTTATATATACGCTGAGTAAAATCACAATCATCTTTGGAATTTTCCAGCAGTTTCCAGTTTTTGAGGAAGATTATCCATAAGACGTGATAGTGAGTGACGATAACAAGGGAAAGCTTCAACTCATGTCTTATGTCTTGGGAAAGCAATCGAAAAGAATAAAAGAATCTAATCTTAGGATTGGTAAAGTAGCGCGCATGGTGTGCAGAACTCGTATAGAGTCACGAGTGACTCGAGGATATATGCTTCAAAATGCAACAGATTTTATTCTACCAGTATTTCGAAAGTACTTTTTTCATTTTTTAGATCACTGCGACCTCAGGTGATGCCAAAGCAGCCGCGAAACTGCAGTTGAAAATCAAGGATGTCAACGAATTCGCACCGGAGTTTGAGAGCGCACTTTACGAAGCCTCGATCCCAGAAGACGCTGTCCCCGGAAGCGTGATCACGCAAGTGCGAGCTTCGGATGCTGACGGAAGTGAGGGCACACATCTCCTCTACAGAATCGCCGGTGGTGAGTGACTGGCCCCCGGTGTCTGTCTTTCTTATTTCTTTATTGCACATGGAGCGCGCCTACTACAAGTCAGAGGGTACAATAGACATCAGTAGAAAAAGAACGCTGAACCTAAGACCATTAAAGTATTAGTATGTAGAGAAATGATCTCCAACAACAGTTAAGGCACCGTCCACCCTAAGTCAGAATTCTTGAGCTTTCGGCAGCATACGATAGTAGGACCACTATCAAGGCCAGTGCCCAAGTCGCGGACAAAAATCGCTTTGAACGCGAGAAAAGTGCTCCGAAATTTCAAAGAGGCACGAGAACCCTAGAAGGCGCCGCCCCTGCAGTAATGCCCTCTCATTGCTCATCCATCCAATCACCGTTCGGAGAAACCGCCTAGCGGGTATATCATGCCTTCCGGGTATATAACGCCTTCCGAATATGAAGTCGGGAAATCGCGAATTCTTGACTTCATTTTCGGAAACAGGGTTATGAGAAGGCTCTAGAACGACAAAATTGTGGAAGTCGAGAACCTGGGTGGCCGGTGCCTTCAAGGTTAAAAGCCAATCTGATACTACCACTATACTGGTACCATACTTCTATTATTCATAGTTAGTTATTGCCATAACAAATTCATAACCAGACCATTCTTCAACATTTGCCATTTCGGATCAGAGCATATTTTGTAATGTCAAAATTATCCCCGTGCGTATGGCTACAATTATCCTGAAATCTGGTTTTGTGTAAGCTCATCAAACAAAACTCAGATGCATCCTTTGCGCTGCATTTCCTTCCTCATTTATTCCCTCTTATTTCCCATGTTTCTGCACTTCGTGGATATGACAATGACGGCTATGGTACCTACCGTAACTCTATATATACATTTACCGTAAATTTGTTGGAACCCTGCGACGCTACAGTACTTAACGTGTTCAAGACCTAGAGTCAAGCAAAAAATGACAGTAGGAGTAGCTGAAACCTTAGTGAATGCTTCGAAATTTGAATGGCTCTGGAAGGTTCGTAAATTTTTACCTTATCTCGTCATTAGGGTCGTAACTCCAT